TATTTTTAATGAGCAGAGACAACAGGAAAGCAATAATCTGGACCAATTTATATGAAAGGGTAGTCCAGCCCCAGCTGATCCGAAAAGCAATACTCACAGCAAGCTGCTGATATACGTGCAACTGTTTATTCATAAATAAACTGAATTCAATGGAAATAATATCCGAGTAAATGCTCTTCATGCTTTCAGCCTCAACAATGCAATTCTATACCTGTCTATTCAAAGTGAGTCACATTTAATGCATCTTTCCTTAATCTCTAGATGCTTCCTTACAACTTCTGTCATTGTAGCTTAATAGCTGCTGGCTGTGGGTGATGGTCATTGCGGCTCATCATGTAAAGGATACTGGGATGGGAAGTTAATTGAATGGGACTTACTTGTGTGTAGTAAATATAATTAGTAAGAGAGGGAGAGAGAGCACAGCTCGAAGAGCTTTGATAGGAAGGGAAAAGAGAACATATATAAATTAGCTCAGAGATATAGAAACTAGTAATTCTCTAGAGAAATGTATTAATTTCTCTGCTTGTAAATCAGTATAAGTTGATCTGATTTTTCATAGATTGATAATACTACCTTGTAGAATGGAGATGCCACTGATGGAAAGTGCTGCAGAATAGTATGTATGCATTTGGTCAAAAAAGACCAACAAATGGAGCTGCTTCTAATGGCAGCAGTGGCTAGTTATAGAATTCATGGGAGAATCAGGAAGTACCGAAGTTCCTTCTTGAGTTGTTCCTTCAATAGAAGCCGATGTGTGCTATAAGAACATCTATTGACTTTGCTGAGCTAATTACACTGTGGAACACAGTGCAAGCTTATAGTGGCCTCAAGGGTCTTCTTCTCTTCTCACATATTTCTGTTAAATTAAGCCTTAGAGGTTTAGGGGTGGTGGAATGATGTGGAAATCAACAAGGAGTTATTTTTACCTGGACATATTATTGCTTGTACAGAAGAACACTGAACAAATTCTGGATCGGTTTAGTTTCAGGGATTTGTGCATTGCATTAATGGATTTTATATGTGCAGAAACCTAAGCATAATTACGGCAATTTGAAAATCAGTAAAGTTCATATTTAGGACACTGCTTACACAAATGTCAACTGGATGATAACTGACTGCTATATAATTCACATTTCTGAATAAATATGCATAGGCTTGAGTAACTTTTAATTGGACACACTGTGATATTTTTATGTGACTTAGAAATCCTAAAATCATATAGCCACTGAACTAAGTAAGGCCACTAAATTCCAGGGAAGTTGTCTTTGAGAATAGAATAGAATAGAATAGAATAGAATAGAATAGAATAGAATTTTTTATTGGCCAAGTGTGATTGGACACACAAGGAATTTGTCTTGGTGCATATGCTCTCAGTGTACATAAAAGAAAAGATATGTTCATCAAGAATCATAAGGTACAACGCTTAATGATAGTCATAGGGTACAAATAAGCAATCAGGAAACAATATCAATATAAATCGTAAGGATACAAGTAACAAAGTTACAGTCATACAAGCATAAGTGGAAGGAGATGGGTGATAGGAATGATGAGAAGATTAATAGTAGTGCAGACTTAGTAAATAGTTTGACAGTGTTGAGGGAAATATTGAGCAGAGTGATGGCGTTTGGGAAAAAACTGTTGTGTCTAGTTGTTCTGGGGTGCAGTGCTCTATAGCGTCGTTTTGAGGGTAGGAGTTGAAACAGTTTATGTTCAGGATGTGAGGGGTCTGTAAATATTTTCACAGCCCTCTTTTTGACTTGTGCAGTATACAGGTCCTCAATGGAAGGGAGGTTGGTAGCAAGTTCTGCAAGTTCTAATTATCCTCTGAAGTCTGTGTTTGTGTTCTTGGGTTGCAGAACCAAACCAGACAGATATAGAGGTGCAGATGACAGACTCAATAATTCCTCTATAGAACTGGATCAGCAGCTCCTTGGGCAGTTTGAGCTTTGAGTTGGTGCAGAAAGAACGTTATTTGTTGTGCTTTTTTGATGACGTTTTTGATGTTAGCTGTCCATTTTAGATCTTGTGATATGGTAGAACCTAGAAATGTGAAGGTCTCTAGTTTTGATAATGTGTTGTTTAGTATTGTAAGAGGTGGAAGTATGGAAGGGTTTCTCCTAAAGTCTACTACCATTTCTACAGTTTTGAGTGTGTTCAGTTCCAGATTGTTCCACTCACACCACGAGGCTAGTTGTTCAACCTCCCGTCTGTATGCGGATTCATCTTTGAGTAAACAGCACAATACTGTATTTACTATATCACTGTAGTTTTCACTTCATTTTAAGCTATGGATCAATCATCTAATACTGAAGTAAACTAAATAAATGTTCTTATACCACTGAAGAAAAGAGGTGAACCTTAATGCTTTCTGCTAGTTAAGATCCACTTTCTGCATCAAGAATGTTGTGTGAAGTGTTTAGAAGACTCACTGAATTCAGTCAAAACCTCACCATAGGATCTGATGCTTTTCAGAAAGTGGAAAAAACTAATCTATTTACCTTTAAATGAATGGTGAAATGTAAATTTGTTACTACCAATTCTGTGGGCATGGCTTGGCGGGTGGGGCGGTAACATGACTGGGTGGGCATGGCCAACTTTTTTTTTTCTTTTAAAAGCATTTTTTCTACAACCTCTTTGGCTGAAAAACTGCTTTTAAAAGTAAAAAAACCAGCCTCTGATGATCGCGCGGCTCAGCTGGGCATGGGAGGGAGGCACAGGGATTTTTGCTACCAGTTCTCTGAACCACTCATTGCCATTGCTCCCGGATCAGGCGATCCGGTCCGAACCAAGAGCATTTCACCCCTGCTTTAAATGCCTGGGAAGATAATATAAGAGCTGTGATGGTGCAGTGGTTAGAATGCAATATTGCAGGGGTGGATTCTACTTACCTTTGCTACCTTTACTACCGGTTTGCAATGGGAGCGCATGCACAGATTACCTGTGATGATGTTGTGGCGGTGGGCGGAGCCTCCTGCCGGTTTTACCACCAGTTCTATAGAACCGGACCGAAACAGGAGTAACCCATCACTGTTGCAGGCTAATTCTGCCCTCTGCCAGGAGTTCAATCCTGACCAGATCAGGGTTAACTCAGCCTTCCATCCTTCCAAGGTCAGTAAAATGAGGACCCAGATTGTTGGGGCAATATACTGACTCTGTAAACCGCTTAGAGAAGGCTGTAAAGCTTTATGGAGTGGTATATAAGTCTAAATGCTATTGCTATAGTCAAATATGTATTATTTAATGGCTTTTGTATCCAATGTTCAAGAATCCAGTCTCACTTGCAATTTAAAGGACTATAAAACATAATACTCAGTATCAAATTTTTATGCCCATACATGTCAGTGAAACTTCGGTTATAAACAACCAACCGAAATCCCAACCATAACTAAAATAGCATACAGATCTACAGAGAAAAATCTTATTTCCTTACAAGTTTCTGTCAAGATAATAAAGACAGCAGAGGTGTTGCAGAGATGAACTTTAGGGAGGCATTTGGCCAATATTAAAGCAGATGCCAAAAGCAGGCCCCTCCTTGCCAGAAATACCAAAGGATTGAGCTACTAATTCCATTATTGTTATCTGCATCTAAAAGTATTAAGGACAGGTGCATCATCCAAGCACTGGCTGGGTGGCTACAGTACAGTACTGCATTTTATTTATTAATCACATTTAGAAACCACCCATCTCCCTCAGAGGGATGTTGTACAGCATACAAATAAAATATTAAAAAAATAAACTATATAAAATTTCAAAAGACGCAGAGATAGTTAAAATTCAATTCTAAAAGTTAATTTAAAAGTAGGGGGAGGGACTTTTGGGTGCTAACAAGATGTGTACTCCTCTGTGAGCCCCAAGCAGGATAGCAGAGCCAGGTTGTCCCAAAGATGCTTTAAGAAAGGCAACTGGTCTTTCTTGATTTTTCTTTTTTCTTTTTTCTTTTTTCAAGAAAAATCAAGAAAACCCAGATGCCTTTATAAAGCACCATGACCTGGATGACTGGAAACTTCAAGAGACACAGAGCCAGGTCTTTAGACAATGCTGAAAGGCCAGGAGAGTGGGGGCCTATCTAATTTCTGGGGGCAAAAGGGTAGGAGGTAACAACTGAGACGGTTCTCTTCCTGCATCTTGATAATTGGAATTCTTTCATGGGAGTCCACTCCCAGTGGGCTGGGCTGATGTAAATGGTTTGAAGACGGTTCAGTATGTAACTTGGCCCCATACCATGTAGGATTTTAAAGGTCATAACAAACTTCTTGAATTAGACCCAGAAGTAAACTGGCACCTAATGGCAGTATAACAGCTATGAACTGTGAGCTATCAAGTCATTGTCAATTCTTAGCAGCCACATCTTCTCTCCATTATGATCTGTCCCTAACCTGGTCTTTTAGTCTCCTAACAGCACTCCCCATCACCACTGTAACCTAGTCTGTCCATCTTCTTGCCGGTTGTCCTTTTCTTCTTTCCTTCCACCTCCACCTTTCCCAGCATTAGAGCTTTCTCCAGAGAGCGAGGTCTTCACATAATGTGTTGGAAGTAGGATAATTGCTAGTTGTAAAATGGCCTCTGTCAAGCCAGGGACAGTTCTTTCTGGTTGAGTGACAAGGGCAGAAAACAAGCCACCTAGGTGATACTATGTGCAGCTCTGGGAGCACCCCAGTCAGAGCAGCTGGAAGTAACTAAGATGTATTAACATTAAGCAGATGAATTAATGAGGTAGTTCCATCACTCTGAGAGTGTTTTTTTTTTTTGGCAAAGTCTGCTATGCCTGAGGTACAAAATTCCAGACGGTAGCAACGCAGAGGTACAACCCTCAGTATTCTTTGCTGCCATCTAGTGGCCATCTGGGTTTTAGAGGCCTAGATTTCTTAGTCCTGACACTACATCCTTCGCGGAACCCGCCATTCCATAAATGCCAGTCGACGACTAGGGGCACAGAGATGACTCCACACGGTCTCTCTGCGCATGCGGATCACTGCGCAGCCAAGTACGCCAGCCCGGTGGAATTAAGAAGGCCCCAGGACCGGAGTGAGAGCAGTGGAGATTGACGGCCAGAGCGGCAACGCCGGCCTTTTGCCTTCTCGCCAAACGGCTGCTCTGTTTAAAGGCGTCAGTTCCGATTCCTGGTGGGCAGGCTAAAGGAGGGAAGGATGGTAAAAGGGGACAACGAGGTCGCGCCCGAGCCCGAATTCCCAGAACAGTTCCGTTCCTACTCGGAGAACGAAAAACACTGGCAAGCGCGGCGCGCTTTCATCCTGCGCAATAACCCGCTGGAGGGCGGGGAGGCTCCCACTCCGCTGTGTATGGACCAGCTGCTTTCCCTCTCCATGGTTTGGGCCAATCATCTCTTCCTGGGATGCAGGTACCGCCTCCTCGTCCCTTCGCTCGCATGGCCTCTAGGTATTTTGTCCCTCGCAGCTGGGCCCTCGCGCGCCCGGCTGGGACGGATGGAAGTTGTCGCCCGATGCTGCACCAGGGAAACGATAGAATGGGAGGGGGGGAGGCGGTAGCGAGGAGTAGGCTGCATTCAACGCATGCGCTGGGATTGCCCGGTATTTTCTTAACCGCCCATTTTTTTTAAGGGATTACGTCATAGTAAAAGAAGCGGTCTCCTCTATATTTGCAGGTTTGAGAGCAGCGTCACCTGTTTCCTACCAGGACAGGTAGTGGAAGGGAAATAAGCGTATTCAGACATAAAAATACAACCGAACCACAAACATGGTTTTCTTTCTAGAGGGGAAAAAAAGGACAATTATGTATGTAGATGTTGAAATAAAGTTAACAGAGTAGCATGACAGGATTTCTTGAAGTTGTTTGCAGATAAAAATCGATATCCTGCACATTCTTCTCCAACAATTTTGTGTATTTCCTGTTATTCAGTGATGATTAATAATAATTATTAAAAATTAATAATTATTAAACAGTCTAATAATAGACTGTTCCATGCAAGTTATATTTCCCAGCATTTTGGAATAATGGACTGTACTTTCACCCCATGTCACCATAAAGGAATCATTGGGCTGTTATACAAAAATGGGAAGATCCTATTTCAAGATAGGCAACCACTTATTTTAAGTACTTTGTTCTCATTCTTCAGCCAGCAAGTGTCTTGGGGTATTTATTTATTTATTGGTTCAATTTATATGCCGCCCTTCTCCGGAGACTCAGGGCGGCTTACAATGCGTTAAGCAATAGCCTTCATACTTTTGTATATACCTGCTTAGTAGGGCTTTCGGACCCCCCAAGCGGTGTTCTTTTTTATACAAAGTCAGCTTATTGCCCCCACAATCCGGGTCCTCATTTTACCTACCTCGGAAGGATGGAAGGCTGAGTCAACCTTGAGCCTGGTGAGATTCGAACTTGCAGTAATTGCAGGCAGCTGGTGCTAATTAACAGCACTTTAGTCTGCTGTGCCACCAAGGCTCATATAACTTACATAAGGTCATTAAGAGCAATACTATGCTATTAAAACAAGACTATTTTAAAAGGTGACAATGATGGCATTTTGCCACTTCTTTTTCTCCTATTCACAGGTCAGTTTGTTCAGAGGAATTAGAAGCAGGTGGGGAAAATGTTGATAGAAGTTCACCTTGCTGGTTTTTAAATCTTTTTTTTAAAGAAAGATGTTTAAAATCTGTTTTAGAAACAGTAATCTGAAAGTTTATGAGCTTTTGGTATTTATTTACTGGAGGGTTTGTTACAACTTTGCTTTCCAAATTTCATTTATGCCTTGTTTCTAAGAAAAAGGCACAGAATTTTTATGAAGTATGTTTGGAAACTTGGTAATTAAATCCAAAGTAACTTTGATATTGTATTTAGCCTGTATTTGCTTAGTTTTGTTCCTAACTTTTATAATAAAGCTGGCCTAAAGCACCCCAATTTTTCTCAACTTTATGGATGTTGCTTATAAAATTGAAAGGATTGAACTTTATTGGTAGCAAATGTGAATTGTGGGAACAGTAGATGACTGTTAGATACCTTATAAACTTTTGTTTTCTTTATACAGCTATAGCAAAGATCTATTGGAGAAGGTGACAGAAATGGCAAATGGAATTGAAGTTGAAGATGTGCCACATTTCACAACTCGTGATGAATTAATCAAAAGGTGAATATTATTCAAGACTTTGGTTTCCTTTAGAAAACTTTTCTTGCAGCAATTTTACACACATGCTCAATTTTAGAGAAAAGCAGAATAGCCTATAACTATTCGATTGGGCTTTTACAATCTCTAATAGCTCCTCCTGTCTTTAAGCCTAGTTAGTGTAACTTTCCCAAAGTCCATTCTAGTAGATTATTCTTTTATGATTTTTTAAAAGCACCAGAAATTATGATGGGTATTCCTAATAAATGCCCCAATCATTTGTATTATGACATCAATAATACTTTTGTATTGAGCACATTTACATCTGAATGTCTGCTAAGGGCTCATTGATTTGGCATAATAATTTCAGCAAAAAAAAACAAAACACAACAAAGTGAAAAGCTAGTAAGTGATGTGGAATTCATGTTTTTAAGCCATGCCATAATTTTAAATTTATTGTTGCACACTTTTCAAATGGCTGGGTGAACATGATGCTTCTGATAATACATAGTCTTTGCCATGCCACTGTGTATTCATAACTGGCCCAACAAAGATTTACTAATATAGCTTCTGAAATGCAGCATTAACTTTTCCCTGGCTGCCATACATTTCAATGTTTATATGAATCAATACTTAGTCTGCAGTTATTTAATTATTTAGTATAAACTGGGATTAGGATTTAATTTAAGTCCTAGGAGGTTTGGTATAATAATGCTTTTAGAACTATTACATTTTGTGTAGGATTTCTAATAACTAAGGCTCTTTATGTAATGCTTGAATAAACTAAACATTACAAATTACTGAACTTCAGATATCTGTGATTGCAATATACTTAATGGGCTTGTACCTTGCATTTTTTTTAGAATCAACACTAGTGCCTAGGAGAAGAAATGCCAGGCTTTTGTTCTACTACACAATCTGTTTATATTGAAGACTGATCTGGATACTTCAAGCATCGCTTCTGAGATGCATTTTAGATTAGACTGTTTTTATACTGGATGCTTAGAAATTATGTACAGATTTTGATTAATAAAGAGTGAAGAAAAGAAAACTAGTACTTACGTTTATTTATCATTAGATACTCTGTCCCCCAAACACCAGCCCTTCAGAAAACATGTTTAAATCTGATGTGACATTTCCTAAGGTATTAGTTATATGGTATGAATACAGAAGTAACAAAATCCCATGAAAAATAAATGGGAATAATAGAAACGAATGTACAGTCATGAAAAATTGCTGGATGTAAGAAATAAATGTTTTTTTTAAAAAAACAAAGCACTGCGTTGTCTTATTTTTTCTCTTTCTTACTACATATGCCTTGTAGCTGGCAATGCCTCGCTGATCTTGTTTCACCTTGGAAGTTAAGTAGAGTTAGACCTGGTTAGTTCTTAGATGGGTGACACATTGAAATATCTCAACTCTTAAATTGAAAAATAAAACTGGAAGAAGGAAATGGTAAACCATTTTCATATTGGGCACCATTTGCAAAAAAGTATCTACTTATGGACTGGATGATAGGCCTTTTGGTTGTGGTTGTTATGTACTGCCCAAAAACTGGATTGAAGTAGTTTACAAAACCTAAATGAACTAAATAAATGGTTGCTAACAAAATGACATGGTCTTCTCTCTGATGTTAATAGAGTTCAATTATACTTAAAGACTGTATCTCTTATATGACCCATTTCAGTATTAAGGCTGTTATATCTTTAACCATCCATACAAATGTTTTTTGAATTCTCCATGATGTTTGAATTACATAAAACTCTATTCTGAACTCTTGGATTTCAAAGATATCTTTTGTTGACCATTAGAACATTCCAAAAACCAGTAGTAGTGTTAAACTGACTTGACTTGGTAAAAGAGCAGTACATTTTGACCTTATATTGATTCAGTGAATATAAAGTACTGCCCTAATCTGAATTTATAAAAGTACTGGCATACAAGGTAAAAGGAGTCCAATGTTGTAATTTTAAGATAGGTCCCCAAAGTAAATGTTCAGCTCCCCCCCCTTTTTTTTTATTGTCTCAGGTCTTGCCTTATTCTTCCTGAAAATACAGTAATTATTTAGGTTAACTAAGATATCATAGAAAGTTTCCCACTCAAGCAGCTCTACCATTGTGGGATGGGAGAAATTCAGTTTTGGATGCATCTTTTCCTTTTCACATAAATGTTCTACAGCATTTATCCTGGCATATCTCTACTATACATCAAAATTACATTAGGGATTACTCTATCTTTTCTGTTAATACAATTCAGGAATAGGCAATGTTTTGACACCTCGAAATTGAACACTACATGTGTCTGAAAGTTAGTGTCTGAAAGCTGTACTTGGTTGGAATGATGATGATGCAAAAATGACCAAGATTTTGCCCTTATTGAGAATTTTCTTTTTAAAATCTATTTTACACTTAATAGTAAGCCTTCTACTACAAAATGACTCGGAACTATGCAACAATTCTTAGCAACTACTGTATGGTCAGACTTGGCTTAAGGGCTGAAAAAAGGATTAGGATTCTTGAAACTCCCCCAAAAGTTGCCTCTCCCAGTCTAAATATTCTTTCTATTGCAACTATTGTGAGGAAAACAGCTAAACATTTGTTTAAAAAGACCTAGGAAAGGGAATTAAGTTTCTCTCCCTTGGTGTAGACCTCTGGACTCTGTAGAGATTCCAATCACAAAATTGTTCATATAGTAGGACTGCTCTGCTTATTAATCAACATTTTGCTGGAGTTGGGAGATGGGAGTGAATTGAATGTGATTTCATAGGAACGTAAAAGCTTTGTTGGATTAGGCCCAAGGTCGATTAGTCCAGAAATTTGTTTTCAGTAGGTCAGCCAGATACTTCTGGGAAGCCTACAAGCAGGCATATGCTATCCTCCTCTTATTGGCTGCTAGCAAGTGGCATTTCCCTTAACCATGACAGCTGACAGCTGATAGATATTTCATGAATTTACTTTTTCTCCTTATCTAGCCATCTAAGCTCAAGGCCTTTGAAATGAATGCCCTTTTTTCTGGCTTGAAAGTACTGCCAGTATGTTTGATGAACCTGATGTGGAGTGGTTTGGGTGAGTGCTGGAGATAAATTGAAGATAAATGAGAATGATGGCAGATTATTGGCATCACTAGAAGTGATATTGGTGCACAACTGCAATCTGCAATCCACTGCATGTTGTATATTTAGAAAGGATGGGTCAGACAAAACCTTTTTCTGGGAATGTAGTATGGTGGTATTGGGACTGCTATCATTAGAGGTCTACAGTTCTCAACCTCTTACATTTACGAATATCTAATTATACTGTACATTACAGTAGTTATTAGGGAATGTCAGACAGACATTTAACCATTGCAGAGTCATCAGATCACACAAAAACAATGGTGATTTTATTGATATGAAAGTATGTTCTAACTGCCTTTGACTTCTTTAGATAACTAATATAAGCTGGATTTCCATTTGGTGGACCTGAAGATCCCCCTCTGTGCATTATACTGCTGCAAACCTGAGGTATTTCTAAGGCATGTTTACAGAAAAAAAGCCAGCCCAACTATATTTTCAGTTATTAGCTGTTATGTTGTGTCTATTTAAACATGAACCTTCTCCATTTGAGGATAGCTTTTTTGCATAGAGGTATCCCTCTAAAATGGATGCAGTTTGATTTTTTCTTATCACCACTCACTTTCAACTAACCCAGATAATTACAATAAAGGGAAGTCCATGCCTATTTTTCTGTTTAGTTTACTCTTTCCTTTATGTAATTCTGGTGAAAGATTGGCTAGGCATATCTACCGGCTATACATTGCTGGTTCTCTGTTCTTGAGATAACTTGGAATTGTTTAATGCTATCCATAATACTGCAGTTCTGTGACCATCAATCTGATACAGGAAGTCCTATTAATAGACAGAAATTATAGTTAAACAATTGAAAGTGTACTACGTCATGTCTCTATTGAACACTCTAAACTAACATTCACTGATCTTGTTGGAAAACATTAAACTTTATAGTTTTTAGCAGTAATAACTTCAACTGAATATTTTCTGTACCTGTTGACCAGTCATGCATATGTTGTGTCTATTAACAAGAGAACATCTATTAAGGCACTGCTTTCATGTGATATTTTGGGACTGTCTTTACATGAACTGGTTGCTTCAAGTCATGCCACATCATTTCAGTTAGAGTAAGGTAAGAGCTTTGATTCAGCATTTCAAATTTAACAATTCAATTGGCCTCTGTTTTATATTTATTTGTGTGTGTTTAAGAGCATATAACTCAAATTTAAGTTTCAGCTCCCAGAAGGACATACTGGACACTTTCTGGTAGAATCCACTAGTACAATCCAGACTCCACTGTTCCCTCAACAATTGCAAGACACCTGAGGCTGAAAATCAGCCCCAAATCATATGCTCCGCTGTCCTATTTCATGGTATGTAGTATGTCAGATCTCCCTAGTAACATTTAAGATAGGAGAAAGAGCTATTCTCTCTGGGCATGGGTTAATGAGATTTATTAGGAATAACAATGCAGTGATAATACTTTGACTAAGTTTGCTTTCAAATATAAAATTATTTAGAAGCAGTTTATATTTTGGCTTTCTTCCTTTAGCCCTTTCAGAGTAAAATGAGGAAGCCAATCTTTATGAGGAGGCAGACTATTCTACCACTGGATTTTGTTTACACTACTCTTATTGGTGTGGGAAACATCCTAATTTTTTTATTCTCATTAATAACCCAAAGTTCCACTTTCATCTTGCGTAGCCTCAGAATCTTGTTCTTTAAATGGTACACTAGGTTGTGAAAGTAGTCTTTGGGCAAATTTTCCTATAATTTCCTTCTCATTAACCCCCCCCCCCAACCTGTTGTAGTTTAGTGATTTTCTTATGTGGACTCATGAAAACTAACATCAAACATGGCCTGCAAATCCTTTGCTGTTACCATGGATCTGTGACCTCCAGGAGTTTTGTATTATCTTCAATGATTTCTTGGATAATTTTACTAGGAAGAGGTAGCAATGCTATTACATTTCCTCCAGTGGTACATCATCTGCTAACTAGATTTTAATTGGAGGCCAAAATCTTTGGCTATGGTTTTGTGACCTAGCCCACTGGGCCCCAGGCTCAGGAACACCAGCAGCTTTTTCTGAGTCTGCCGCAATGCCTGACCGAGGCATGATTCATTTTCATAAACCTGTGCTATGATGAGCAAACTCCAATGTTAACAATAATCACAGTTGCGTTTGTTATTAAGAAAGGGCTCCTTGAACTCACACCTGTGATTGGTATTTCTGACATAACTTCGCCTCTTAAGAGAGCTAATTTTTCTAAGGCTTTTTCATGAGGAGGAAAGTTGACTCAGTATGTTTAATAAAGACATGACAGACGGCACAGTTTGGAGTGTTATTTAAACAGAATCTATAAATGGGTACAACTTAGATAAGGCCCTGATCACATTATAGGTACAGTACAAATAAGGATTCACATTTTTTTCTCCCACAACTATATCCCATATAAATTCTGGCTTGCTGAATGCTATGTGGAAACCTTTTGGAGAATTAACAGAAGATGAATGGAGGGATTTTTTTTCCAGAAGGAATGAAATTATGCAACTAAATGTATCCCACACTGAACGGTGAACTATGTGTAGAGAAATGTGTTATGTGCATGACAAAACTTAGTTCCTATTGTCTAATGTGGCTAGCCAATAATTATTTTTGTTTGAAAAAACTGCTCAGAAAAAGGGGTAACAAGCAATACTGAAATGAACTTTTGTGAGCATGTTTTTAACCCAATTTTTATACTTAAAATTGCCTTTTTCTATATATTCCACCTTATTCTAGAATGAAGTTCATGTAGATGAAGAACCTATTATTCTATGTGCTCCCATGTATGTGCATGTCATATTCCTGCAGCCATCTTCCCAGCCTAGACCCCTAGTTGGGACTACCTAGAACAAGGGTGTCAAACTCACATCGTCACGGTGGCATCATGTGATGTATCGGGACTTCCCCCCCCTTCGCTAAACTGGGCATGGCCATTATGTGATGCATCTGGCCCATGGGCCAGGAGTTTGACAGCCCTGACCTAGAAGTTTTCATTCTCAAATGAGGCAGTCTGGTGCAGTGGTTAAGGTGCTGGTGTAGAAGCCAAGAGACTGTGAATCCTATGTCTCCTTTAGGGATGAATGCTGGCTGGGTAATTTTGGCCTTTCGGCCCAACCCATCTCATAGGACTTTGTGAGAAAAACAGAAGGCAGAGCTATTAGGCATGTTCATTGCTGTGTTATA